AAAAAAGAGGAAAATAATAAAAATAATAAGAAGGAATATGGATATATATCACTTAATTGAGATCCAATTCCATATCTAGCTAATTTGACAACAACTCTTGCAGTAAAAGATAATTAGCAAGTGATTAAAAAAAAATCATTTCCATCTCCTAATTCCCTTCAAACCATTACCTGTGGAGGAATTCAAACAACTCTTTTCAGTCAAAGGAGTTCAAATTAACCCAATACCAAAAAAAACAAAAAAACGGTGTAATGAAAAATATGTACCAATTTGTAAAATACTAACTCATTTCCTGAAGTTGGTTTCCGGATAAAGAAGAGTGTAAGAATGATCCAAAGGGGTCTTGAAATGCAGGCACTCTTCCCTACGAGGAAATTAAACAACAAATTCTTTGTGTCAAATATGCATTATTGTCTAGCTTAATGTAAGATAGATTGACAGATAGAGTGGAACAGAAAACATGCATTTCAACAGAAGTTGCTCATAAAAATTAAGAAGTTGTTATAAATTAGTACCTGAAAATGAGTACTGGCTGAGAAACCTTGTGAGTAATCGAGGACACTCTCCATTGAACCTTGGTTATTGGTCAGAGCAAAGTCCTGCTGCTAAATTTGATATAAACCCAACAAAATCAATCTAATTAATTATGATATTACATATATACATATATAATTAGTTCTAAAAGCATGATTAAAGTTGAGATGTATATAACACTTACCATATTATTGGAGAAGTTGAAAACAGGAGAGCTAGCAGTGTCGTCTAGAAAAGATGGTAAGCCCTGCTGATGATCAATATCTTTCATTTTCTGCCCTTTTTTTCCACCGCTCTTGGACAACTTAATATCATCCTTGGACATAAAGCAAAATGGCTTATACTCGTCATTCAAGTGCACTGGTTGGTTATCATCTTCATGGAAATATTGTGGAGGCCCAGAAGACGCATCAGAAACCATTGAAAGATCTTCTTCTTCTTCTTCTTCCTGGTCTTCTTTGATTCCTTTCTCTTTGTCATGTCCAATATTTTTACAAAAATTACCACTTTCTCCATTCTTACTATTTGGGGAAAGGAAAGATTGTTCCAAGTATAGAGTCCAACCAGACTCGCAGCCGCTACTGCATTCAGAATCCAAAAGGTTCATTCTTTTTTTTTTTTTCTTTTTTCTTTTTGGTGTGTTTTTTTCCTCAAAGAAAACCAACCAACCCTAAATGAGTATCTCCTCTACAAACCTCCTTTTTATGAAGTATGGGGAGAGATAAATTGGTGAAAACAAACTCTCTTTCACTCTCTCTCTATCTATCTCTGTCCATCAAGTGCTCACTGTAGAGGCAGCCAAAGTAAGGAATGTGACAATGTGTCCGTTTTTGGGGTTTCACCTAGTAATATAAGATAAAGAAAAAGTTAAAAAAGTGGGCCAATCAAAAGAATCATATTAGCAAATAACTCTAGTCGGCACTCTCAATCCATTTTTTAACTGTTGTCTCTCAAATTATTCATTATTATTATATTATATATTAACTTACACAATTAAAAATAAATTTATCGTTAAATTATACTGCGGTAAAAATACTGGTTGTTACAACTTACACACATTTAACATATAAATCTATTTGAAATATATCGTGTACAATTAAAATGCACGTAGTTTTATTTGATAAATTTATTTTGGCTCAAACAGAAAATACACGTGGCAATATTGCAAGGGGAAAAGGACAAAAGTGAATCGAACTGAAATCCTAGACTGGTTTTGTCGTGACTCTCTCATGCCTCACCAGTCCTTACAATTAGGGCGGTTGTGTTTGTGAATGAATCAAAAAATGCCAGTTGGAAAGCTATTAGTGGGTGTGCATGTAATGTGAGAGAGAGAGAGAGAGAAAAAATTTAAAGGAAAGAGAGAGCCACAACCTCTTCACATGGAAGACAGCGAGGCACTGTGTACGCTCTTAACAAAATCGAGTACACGTCCATTTCCCCTGTACATGGACACCTATACATTATACATATAAATACATAACACCCTCTTTGCCTCTTGCCTTTCTCTCTCTAATCACTTCTTTGCTTTTGCTTCTCTCTGTGACGTCGTTTGACTTTATTCATAATGGCCAATTTTTACTTAGACATATCCTGGCCGCTGGTACATACGCATTTATATTAATAATTTTAATTTATTGACAAAAATTTTATGAGAGAATTATTCATACAAATTTTTTTAATTTAAATTTTTTATAAAAAAATACTGTAATAATCAGAATTAGGAGTTTAAATATATTTACTAAACATGACCAAAACGTTTTTGATTTGACAATAATCTTAAAAATATAACATTTTTTTGTTATTTTTACGTTCATGTAATGCTCATGTCCCATTAAATTTATTTCAACATTACCATGTTCCACCAAAAAAATTATAAATTTGTAAAAAGTATATATAATATGCTTGCCATACCGCACGTGAGCCTTTGGACATAAGACGATACCTATGTATGTGGTCCTTCGTAAATATGCTCTTGTAAGTTGTTTACACATTAGATGTTTCTGTTTTTCTTGTACGGTCATTAATGTTTGAGAAGCAGTATTACGTTAGTTTCTCCTAGATATATATGATAGCCCTTAGGACTAAAAGATTAGTTGAATAGTACAACACATGTGACAATACAGAAGAGGAATGTGAACCAAGCTAATTTCCTACAACGACCTCAATAATTAAGCTACAGAGAAAGTTATCGAAATGTGACTATACTGTGATTATCAATACTAATGTAAAGATTGTTAAGAAGATTAAGAAAGAGCGTTTACAAATAACGAGCTAATTAGCTTAATGCGCGAGTGGACATATATATATATATATATATATATATAGTTAATGAGTTGAGGTAGAAATTTTCTTGGGGCAAACTGCGGTTGACTGGGCTTTTATGAAACCACATGCAGTCACACTACTACTTCTTTTCCACCTCTGTTGTTTTTTGTTTTTCAATCCTTTTCTCAAGAAATTTTTATCAGGAAATTTTAACTCTTTTAACCTCTAAGGGCTCGCACACGCATGTGGGCACGTGTGCATATGCGTGTTCGAGCTTCCATATTCACACATGTATGCACGTGCAACACGCACTTCAACCTAAATTTTTCTCTTAAAAGTTGCATCTAAAAAAATAAAAAAAATAAATAATTGTCATTTCTGATCTTTGTTACTATTCTCAATGCCAAAGTTATTCCTCTTATTTCCTTGCTTGTAATATTTATGTATTACCAAGAACAACAATGTGCTTCCTACCAAAAAAAGAAAAAACAAACCACAACTTGCTCACTTTTTTTTTCCTTTCATATATTCGTCAACTTGTAACAATAATCAGCTATTTAATATAATCAGTGACAAAATAAATCTTGCATTAGGTTCAAATGCAGCTGAAAATTAATATTACCAATTAAAAAAAAGGACAAAAGAAGGCCTATTGCGCATGTGTTAGTCAAAGCAAAGGAAAAAGTACCACCTTCTTATCCTAAGTCCTATCAACATAAAATAATAAGAAAAACCGTACAACCGTGATTACTGAGATATGCATTGATGCTTTTATTTTTTTAATATTTATTTAACCTTTTTTTTTGTGTTTTAGATTAATTTAAAAAAAAAATTAAATTATAATTTATGTAATACTTTATTTTTTAAATTTTAAAACGTAACATTCATTTATTTTATATTTTATTTCGTTAATAATTTTATAATAAATGACAAAATTCATCACATTATTAAATATGTTTATTATTTAATGAGATTTAAAAATAAAATTATGCTTATATCCTTCTAAAACAAAAATCTCCTCCTTTGCTCTCTCTTTCTATAATAAATGACAAAATTCATCACATTATTAAATATGTTTATTATTTAACGAGATTTAAAAATAAAATTATGCTTATATCCTTCTAAAACAAAAATCTCCTCCTTTGCTCTCTCTTTCTTTTTTTTTCCCCTTCTCTCTCAACGTTCAAATTCCGCCGTGAAAGCACCTTCCAAGCTCTGCGTAAAACCTTGACAAAATCTCACAAATCTTCATGTAAATCACCTATTCTCTTCCTCTGAACCTCGTTTCTGCCACCAGATGGGCTCTCTCCTTCCGTTTCAGGATCTCAATCTTCTCTCTGACGCTCTGTTAATCAAAACAAAACAAAATCCTCTGAATCCCGCATTGTTAATCAAAACAAAACAAAATCCTCTGAATCCCGCATTGTTAATCAAAGCATCAATCCTCCCAAAGGCTTCCCAAGCCTTTTGCACCACGGACTTCTCAATAGTGGGCCCGTCGGCGCAGACATCGAGCTCCACCACCACCCCTCTGAGATCAACAGACGACGACTGGGTGGGCAAAACTACATTGTTGATTTGGTCGTAGAGGGACTTCAGGCGGTCGACGCGGCGAGTGGTGGCGATGACGTGGCAGCCGACCTTGGCAAGGTCGAGGCAGAACTAGTGGCCGAGCCCCGATGAGGCTCCGGTGACCATCACCACCTTCCCACTTAGGTCGTGCCATGGCTCGAGTTGGTGCTCCGACGCCATTGTTGGTGGTGATTCTCTGAGATAGAGGACTTGAGAGAGTAAATGAAATGAGTCAATGGGTAGTTTACTATACTATTATTATGCATTAGGCTCACGCTTTTCTCATAGGGTTAGTTTACGGTAATTCCCTTTCATATGGGTTGAGTTTTATTTACGTGGCAATTTTCGTCACTAGTGTAACTAAAGTGGTAAAATTATTAACAGAACAAAATTTAAAAAGAACGGAGGTTACGTTTTAAAATTTAAAAGGTAAAGTGTTATAAAAATTATAGTTCAAGATGATTTTTTAAAATTAATCCTTCTTGTTTTTATCAGTTTTGTAGTGAGAAGTCTCTATTTAAGAGGGTACAGAGAGTGTAATTACCTTGTAGAGCAAAAAATTTAGAAAGGAGGCTATAACTTGTAGGTTTTATTTATTTTATCGATTTGAGTTTTTAGTTTTAGAATTTTATAGTTAAAATCTCTTAAAAAATGTTACATTTAACTTTTTTCTGTTACAGTTAAAAATTCTTAAAAAATATTACATCTCAATTTAAATTAAAAATTCAAATGTATAAAACCGTAATATAAGAGAGTAAGGGCAATAGTGCAACTCCAGAGACCACATGAAAGCAAAAGGAAATGAAGGCTAATCTTTAAAACGCCATGTGCCATTCTCCATTTGATCACTCATTATCAATACCCCCATCCAAACAAACCCATTTTTGTCTAGTGTTTCAAAAACCTTCCATATTGGAACTGCCCACCGTCATAGGAGACCATTAATAATGATTTTGGAATTGGAATTCTCTCAAGTAGGGCAAAGAAAAAAACAAGCTTATGACCATCTATAATGGTTTTGGAATTCTCTCACGTAGAAAAGGAAAAGTATCTTGTCCCAAACTAGTTACTTTTTAAATTTTCAATTGCTTAAAATTTTTTAGGAGCACTAACACCACTATTTAATAAATTGCGGGTCTTATTTATGAACTTCATACAGTAAAACCTACTTTTTTATTAATCCGTTGGTGTCTTGTAATATTGTTTGTAGTTGCTAGATGATTTTAGAGAATTACTGTTGGTAATGAAGATTTTGCTTGCCAATTGTAATGGAAAATGAAGGGAAGAAAGCCTCTTAAAAATTTTAATTAATTTATTAGAATTTCACCATACCTTTCAGAAATTTGTAATCTGATTTTACTGAAAGTGCACCCAACTATCCATTCTCCAAGTGAACATCTAGAATTCTTCCTACTTGTGAAGAGGCCTTATTACCAAAATAGAGAGAGAGCATAAAAAAATAAAGAGTGTATGAGTCTAGACTTTTATTTTTTACTCTTGATAAATATTCTTTTATTAGTGTAATTATTTAACTAAAAAAATTATGAATAAAAATTTAAAGATATTTATCAAGATTACATAGCATATGAAGTTGTTCATGAAGTTTGGGCTTGGCCCATTCTCAAGTTAATGGGGGCCCTAAAAAGAGGAAGGCGGGGCATGTAACAACTTCGGAAAGAAATTGTCTATCTGGACTCACCTCTTTCATTTTACGTTATTTTTCTATAATTTTCTCTCCTAAGTTCTTAAGTTAGTATAAAAAGGAAGTAGGGGAGAAATCTTGTACGGATTAAGAAATAGTATAAATCTTTATATTTTGGGGGAAGGAGACAAATATTTATGAGTAATAATTACATTAATTAAAAAGATATTAATTCATGATAAAAATTTAAATTCGTACACTTTAAAAATAAATTTAATAATTTTCTCTGGTGCTTTTTCATGCTTAAG